AAGACAAGCTCTCTATGTTGGGAAGAAAATAATGAAAATGACAAGTAATAAAATTTCCAACCTGCGTGTGCCTTTTAAAAACTTGAACAATGCACTTGTTTTCTCATTTTAGATGGCTTCTTATCTGGATAAATGGGGTGAGATATGTGAATACAGTGAGGCAGGTCTTGGAAAGTCAGTATCAGTGGTTCTCAGACTCCCTGGTCTCAAGACTCTTTTACATGCTTAAACATTGATGACCTAAAGCAATTTGGATTATGTTGCTTGTAACTATCAATATTTATGCATTCTTAGTTAAACTGGGAAAAATTTTAAGCACAAGCACACATGCCATATGCCATCAGAGCAATGATGTCATCACACATCATGTACCTTCTGGAAAACTCCACTGCACACTTGGTAAAGTGGGAGAGCAAAAGGCAAATAACATATTAGCATTGTTTTGGTCTTCCTTCAACAGGCCTGAAAAGGTTTTAGGGACCTACACGTTTCCCCAAATCACACATTGAGAAGAGGGAATAATCTCCTCTACAAAATAACCGACACAAGAGTTTGACCAAACAAAATTACTCACTTGGGTGATTTATTTTTCCATCCTCGTGATAGTTTTCATGATAAATAAGATTACTACCAGTAATATTCAATTGTAACTCTTGAATGATGTAGATGAAAGATTAACCACTAATGTATGTAGTCACTCTGAGGAAGAAATCTTAATGTTAAATTCTTGTTTCCAGTGTCAATACCACATGAACAGGACACACATTATTAAGATCCATAGAATCTGCCATGGCCAAGTTTAGGAAGAACTCTCCCCTTTCACCCACTCCCTAAAACAGTGGAGAAGTTCAATCAATTCAGAGCAGGACAGCTCATGTTTAAATATATTTTGTATTTGTGAATATGTGAACACACTTAACATTCTTTAAAAAAAATGCACCTGACTACTTCTACAGAAGTAGAATGAATTTAATTGGTCCACATAGATCCTTAGATGAGGGTAACGACATTACACAGTTGGGGGAAATATGCACATCTTAGGACTCATAGTTGCTATCAAGAGGCATACTTACCTGCCTTCTCAAATGGACCAATAAACCTCAATGTCAAAGTCACAATGAATGAAAAATCTGGGTTTTTCTCCCCACAGATTAACAACTCCCTAACAACACACACACACACACACACACACACACACACAAGGTAACACATGAGGAATGTCAGAAGGACCTTACTCATATTTGAATGTTTTACATTTTATTATAAAATATGGTATTCTATAAAGAAATGCATTTGCATAACAGAAAAAGACATCAATGCAATAGTAATCTAAGTATAAATATGTCCTTGAAGGCAAACAAATGCTAAATTACAATACAGCTTCTCTCTATGTGAGCAAGTGCATATTTTGAATGTAATGCAAATCTAAGAAATCAAAGGGAAAATAGCTATTTGCAAAATTTAAGGAAAGAGCCTCTCCCTCTAAGTCCAATTGCTCTAGCCATTCATACCATGCTAAATTAAGGTTGCAGAGCATTTCTCAAAATCATTCTTTGTTCTTAAATACAAAAATCACAACCAGTTTTCCTGAATTCAAGGCAAAAATGTTCCACTTTTAACAGTAACTGTCACTCCTCAGCAGCCCTTTTCAAAGATAGTTTCAACGAGCAGTTAAAGTGGTTCCAATAAAATCTGAAAAACAATTCAGTTTAGCATTACATATATTATTTGACTAACATCAATCCTTTTGACTTTACAGCCTTTTTAGTTTTTGTTTAGGGTCTCCTTGGCTATAGTTCCCAAGGAATCAAAGGTAAATCAAGTTCATCAAAATTTTGCCTGTTCTAATGGCCAGAACCAATGCCAGGCACAGTAGTTAAATCTCATACTACTATTTGCAGTGAACAGGGATATTTAAATCTCCAAAATGTAAGAAGATCATCATAAAGAAAATCACTCCTAAAAGATCCCCCATGCCTATTGTGAGGAGAGCTCTCAATATAAAGGATAATCAGACCAAGCAACTTGAAATGAGACATCAAAAGCATTTATCCATCAGGCAAATCACATGTTGGCTTATCACTCCTCCAGCCAGGAATGCCTGATGCAACCTAACATGTCTGTCTAAAAAAAATGTAAATAGTTCACATAAACCTTTATACTAATCATTCATTGTACTCAGAGTTCACAGAAATAGTCCAGTTAACCACATCCACCAATAGAGCAGGTTCTTGGACATTTAGTGATAAAGAACTGCTATGGAATGGCACTCGAGCACTCTGACATGATCACCTTCAGCTCAGCAGCACAATACATGGACAGACACTCTTCTAATGACATCAGGACCTGTGGAATGTATGACTGCTAGGAAACATGCTGCTAGGAAACAAAGGACAGATCTGATCAAATCTTCTAATGGAAGGGCTTGGAATCAGGGCGATGAGATCTTCTAAAATGAGAGGGCAAGCATTCTTTAATCTTCAGAAATATTTGCAAGTGAAAAGATTTTAACACATACCCTCTAGAAATGAAACAAATACTAAGCTAGATTCTCATGAATTAAATCACGATTCTCTAAGTTTTCTTTTAAGATGACCACCACTGGCAATATCTCATAAAAATATAACTTAATCAAAATCAGGCATCAGTGAGTCTATATTCCTTTTCTTTTTCAACCTAAGCTTTTTCAAGAAGTTAAGATCTTAAAAAGATAGAAATCTAGAAATTATAGTACCTGGAAACAAAGTACCCTTTTACATTTACAGTGCTACACTTTTAAAACAAAATAGAACATAGCCATTGGCAACAAACACGGAAGTCAGAGGTAACCTAAAAGTAAGGAATTTAATCTTTATCTTTTAACTAAAAAGCAGTTTCAACTTTTTTACACTGTTTATCTTGGTATAGTTTTAACCCTCGCTTTGGTTACCAAAAAGACAGGATGAAACAAGGCTAAGAGATATTTCAATGGAAATATCTTTTTAACTTCTACACAAATTATCTGCAAACCTCTTTTCTTTTGGTGATACTATAAAAAAGCTGAAGAGTCTGTCTGTAATCCATGTCCACGCAAACTGGGTGTTAGGGACTCCAGGTCATTTAGTGTCATTACAGACTGAAAAATGTGCCAGGAAAATGTGGCTAAATTCTATTTAATCTTATAGGGGAATAAAGAACATTCTCCAATTGAGAAATGATTAAAGAAGTGTTTCTTTGCAGATTCTAAAATGACATTTCTTTAACTAGGGCTGCTAGACCATACGACAGTAAATTAACAGATCGCCTATTTCCTTCAGAGCAAAACCCAGAAGGCAATCTTTCCTTCCTGCCAGAGTCTATGCCTCTCATTTCCCCAGCAGCTGGCTGGAAGGATGTAAAACCAGAGGTGCAAGCCTTATACTTCCTAACGAGTAATCCACCCAGGAAGGTAAACACAACAGACACCACCAGGTTCGGGTGTAAAGGACACAGTGGCAGGGCTGCTTACACCGTTGTTTACAGTGCGCTCTGACTACCGCAGGCAGGATCACATACTTGCACGGGGAGGAGACACCCAGAGGTGGCTCGCATGCCTCGAGTTCCCCCAATTGCTATGATATCTCCGACCATAAATAAAGCAGGGGATGCATCAATCCGAGCGAGGAAAGTGGCCAGAGAATTCCAGGGACCAGGGGTTATGCCGGCTTCACTGGATTATTCCAGTCTTCCAGAGAGATGACTACACTGTCCCTTGGTCCTCATCAGGGCTAATCTGAGGTGCGAGGAGCGCTGCACCAGAGACTCACGCGCGCCACACGCATCTCGTGGAGGTGCTCCTCACTGGGGAAAAGGGGACAACGTGAGGCTTCCCCGCAAACCCTACGGGCCCCATGGCCTCCTTAAATCAGATTTTCCAGTTAAGCAGATCCTAGGCGACTTGGATAAGCAGGCTCTGCCATTCCCGCAAATTATCTGCCGGCCATCCCCAGAGCGCACGAACACACACACAGACACGCACACGCCGTACCGCTGCCAACTAACCCTGGTAGGGAGGTCGCCCCCCATACACGCCCACCCACCTATACTGCGGGGGGACCTGGCACGCTTAGCTTCCCTGAGCTCCAGTGGCGGGGGCGCAGTGGCACCCTCGCTCCGAGACAGCCTGAAGCCTCCCCTTCTCCCATGAGAAGCTCCAGGGAGCCTGCCCTCCTACCTGTAACCTAGCCGACTGCGACCACCAATACTCTGCCCACCTCGCCCAGCTCCCCGGCCACCTGGGTTCCTGCAACATCCCCACCCACCCTAACCCGTGCACACTCCCAACATCGCGCCACTCTGGACCACCCAAGAAAGTGACACCTTTCTCCAACCAAACCGCCTAACAAAGCCTGGGCAAGCAGGTCTAAACCAAACTGCCGTGAAGGGGACACAACGGGCGGGGTGAAGGGAGGCATCTCCGCTCCACGACTCAGGGGCGCGACCTGGGCAAACGCGGCCACCACGGAAGCTCCAGGCAGGTGTCTTGGGAGAATAGCGGCTCGCTCGCCATCTCCTCGTCCCCATCACCCCAGAACCCAGATCCTCACCCGGGGGCTATCGGTACTCTAGCCTGCGCCCACCTCCAACAGCACCGGCTCCGGGCAGGCGGAGAGAAGGCGCCCCCTGGTCTGCTTTCAGCCCCCTCCAGAGGATGACACCCGGGTGAGAGAGGAGGGAAAATTCCCAGGGTGGATGCCGTTCCTATTCCCCAGCGTTTCGGACTGCGAATGCACGCGATCTGCTCTCCCCTTCATCCCGCTTGGCCGCCAATCGCCCAAGAGCTGGAAAAACCTCAAACCAGTGCCAAACACCAGCGCCCACCAGCCAAAAGGCTCCCTTCCCAACCCACATTACAATCGGATGAGTGTGTGTGCGGGCGAGTGTGTGAGTGGGAGAGTGAGTGTGCGTGAATCCCGCACCACCCCCCGGTTGCTCGCCCCGCGGACGCCGGCCACCACTATTCGGAAGTAAGAATAAATTACCTTTCGCAACCGCCGGCTCCTGAGATCGTCCCATCAGTTGCTCAACAACCTGCAGCCGGGTGCAGTTTCCACAATCCAGCCACGGAGCCCGGGGCAAACGACCGACCGGCCCCAGCGAAGACACCCCTACCACAGTCGGCAAAGAATGATAACCAAAGCGCAGGGAAGGCAGCAGGAGGGTGGAAACCCCAGCCAAGGAAACAACAAAAAGTCTCTCCTTCTCTCTTTCTTCTGTTACACAGCTATGGAGAAGGGGGTGGGGGGGACAAGAACCAAACGCTTGTCTTTCTTTGCGTTTCCTGGCTTCACACACACCGAGGGGGTAAAAACGGAGCCAAGAGAGAAGAGGGTTCAAACGTCTCTCCCAGTGCACAGTTGCACAACTTCGGAGTCAAGCTCTCTCTAGCAGCAGCCAAGGGACACAAGCGGCAGCTATTAACATGCGGCAGTCATAGCTGGGACTGCTTTTCCTCCCGCTGCTGCTGCCGCTTATGAAAAGACGCTGCTGAAGAGACCAAAAATCTTCCACCATCCGCCCCCCCCCTCAGCCGATCTTCAGATCCAGTTCTCCCAACCCCACCCCCTTCTCTTTCTTTTTCTTCTTCCTCGTCCTCCCCTTTAGGTCCGAGAGCAGGAGCGGTGGAATAGGTAGGGGGAGCCGCAAGGGCGACGAGTGGCTTTTCCGCCAAATCCTCCTCCTTCTCCCCCTCCACTCGAGGTTTTCTCCCCGCCGAGGGTCTCCTTTCGCTCCCGCAACCTGCGCCAAGAGCCGGAGCGAGGGCCACCAAACTCCTTCCCGGGTGTACAGCGGCCGCGCGCGGGGCGGCGCAGTCGCCTGGCAGCCGAGGGCTGTGTCCGGGTGGCCGCGGAGCCCGGAGCCCGGGAGTTCGCTGATTAGCTCGCCGGCAGGGCCGGGCAGCTGCGGGCATGTGGGTGCTTCATTGCGCGGCCCCGGGCTCCGCGCCGCCGCCTCTTCGGTTCTTTCTCTTCTTCGGCTCCCGGAGAGCGAGCAAGGCTCTGGCGCTCTCTAGACACGCACACTCACACACGCGCACACACGAGAGAGCTTCTGCCAAAGCAAACCGTGCAACCCGCGCGCGCGCACAATCGGAGAAGGAGGACGGAGGCGAAAAGAGAAGAAAGAAAGGGGAGGGGGCGAGTCACTGGCGGCGGCGGCAGCAGCAGCAGCTGCGGGAGCGGAGGCAACGAGCAGTCCAGAAAAAGCCAGCAGCGGCGGCGGCGCCCACCCGGACCAGCGACAGCATCTGCATTCCCGCTCCTGGGAACTGGGGCGAGCGGGGCCGGGCGAGTAGGCAACCGGGCGACGCTCCAGAAGCCGGTCGGGGCGCGGGTGCGCCGGGACCGTGCAGTTCTGCGCGCGGCGGGTGCTGCCGGGGCCGCAGCCAAGGCCAGAATGAGCCGCGGGCGGGCGAGCTCCGAGAGCGCCCGGAGCCGGGAGGGGGCTCGTACCGGGGGAAGGGGTGGCAGACAAAACCCGGATCTGGAGTAGTCCCCGGCTCCGCCGCGCAGGCTCCACCTAGCAGCTCGGTAAACGCTTGGAGGTGGGAAGGAGAGGGCTGCCACAAGAGGCTTCTCTTTCAGGGTTTGTCAAACAAAGGGTACTTCTCCCGGCGGCTTTGAGGCATCTCTCTCTCCCCGCTCCCCTCTCCCCAGCCCCCCGTCCTCCGCCCCATTCCACTCCCCCTCTCTCCCCTCTTCCTCTCCCAATCCACCCCAGGTGAGTAAACGACATCAGATTCAAAGTCCTGCCCGTGTCTCTTTTTCCAGGTGCTAATTATTCTATATTTCCATTATGCAGGAACGAGTCCCCATGTGTTTCTGCCTTTGGTCCACTTTATGTTCCTTCAAACTTGCCCCAGTGTAGAAGTTCATTGCAAACGTTGAAAGTATCCTTCTCTGATAATGGGATATGGGAATCCCATACTTTTATTTCATAATATCAATAAAAATATCATAATGGACATAGAAAGGTGCGGTTCCAAAATAATACCTCCTGATACAAGAAAAATCTGCTCAAGTTAGCTGAGTGACCTTGGTCAATTACTGAACCTCTGTGTCCCTGCTTTGTAAATGAGACGGTTAAGTAGGTAATTTCTAAGATATTTTCCTGCTCTAAAATTTGATGGTTTGAAATGGCTAAGGTGTTACTTTCTAAGTAAATTCTAGTTATGATTATGAGAGAAACTAAGATTTATTATATGTATCCAACAAGCACATTATAGCCAAATTGTAATGAAATGTATATATTCAGAATGATCGAATACCCTTCCAGAGCTCTTAAGGAGGTGACTTCAACTTAAGCATATCTGAAAATCTAAAACCTCATTAGAATGAACAGACCATACCCAACACAAGTGACTATCAAAATCTCATTCATTCTTCAGAGCTCAGTTCCAGTGCCAAGTGCTCCAAAAAAGCCTTTCTCACCAAACCCAATCAAAATAACCACCCTTTCCATTATATTCCAGTAGCTCTTTGATGATATCTCTACAATACTATCTATTTCATTCTGCCTTTTTCTTGTTCTTTTAAAATAGTTGCTTGTCTGTATGCCTCCTCAGATTATAGGATCTTCCTTGAATGCAAATTCCAAATTTTAATAATCTGTGTAACATCGTATTACTCTGTATCCACAGTACTTTGCACACTGTTATTCTTCTTTTTTTTTTAATGGAAAGGGAGTGTTAATGATATTGAATTAAAACCAACTAGATTTTCACAGGTTTATGTTAGGTTGCTTCAATTTGCCTAACATAGGGCATCCGTGAACTCATCTAAGTATTTAAAGAAAATATAAACTGACATCTGGAGTCACTTGTTACTTAAATAATTTTGGAAAGAGAAGACTAGCCAATTCTGACAAGAGGCTCTTATTCGTAAAAGATGCAAAATGGAAACTTCTTAATTCATTTCTCAAATGGATATATCCAGAAAAGTTTAAAATAATGGAATGTAGAAGAAAGGTGCTATGTAGATATTAAATATCATTACAGGTAGCAGATGAAATATAAACAGAATGGATAGGCCAATTTTTCAAATCAACCTTATCACATTTTGACAGGTCTAGGAGAAAACAGAAAAGGAATTAAAATCAAAATGAAATTGATATATTTATCAAAATATGTAACATTAACTGAAAACTAATTATATTAAATTAAATAATTAAATATGAAATGTGAACTGAAAAGTAAGCATTTAAGTTAAATAAATTATTGAAAGTATTCACAAAGAGGAGTCTAAAAAAATCAAAAATAAAGAGAAAGAACCAAAAAAGAAAAAAAATGAGTAAAAGTAACTGATGGTTAAAGAACAGCAGGAAAAAAAAATAAAATAAGTTGTTTATAAGGTTTAATTGAATGTTAAGACAAATTTTTATAACAACTACAAGTATTTTAGACTCAAACTTCATATTTTCAAATTATTTTTAATTTGTTGAGCTTCATCTTTCATATTTAAGATATAAAGTATTCCACTTTATTGCTGGTAAATCCTTTACTCTTGCTAATATTTTTCTAAGGTGAACCTTCCACAAAAATACAATCAAGTAAATCCTGTGCCCTTTTCACTACACAACTATAGTTAACACCTTCTCAGGGACAAGATAGCATCACAGGTGTTTGAGCAAGTATACTATTCTAGGTGGTAGCTTTGTGTGCTAGAGTGGTTTTTGAAAAAGATGGCACTGTTCTCTTTAATTCGTTTAAATTGAAAAAAATCAACATTTACCAAATGGAAAAGAACTCAAATTTTTAAAGCTAAATATCCAATCAAATTGGATTACCAAAATTAAAATATTTTACTAGCCATCAAAATGTCCTAATCAAAGAACTCTTTTCAAATTAACAAAAATGCAGTAAGATCTTCAACAGCATGAAAGTTAGAAAAAGAACATGGATAAACTGTTCACAAAATAAATTCAAATGACTAATAAATATAAGGAAATATGCTCTGCCTATACAAATCCATTACATAAGTAGATACAGAATCACCAATTCCATCATGTTTCACCCATGAAATTAGCTGAAAGGTAACAGTGACCTCTAACAAAAATATGTTGAGATAGGGATGCTACTAGTCTATTGACATACATTGACACATTTTTAAAAATTATTTATTTATTTTTTAGAGAGGGAAGGGAGGAAGAAAGAGAGACAGAGAGAAACATCAATGTGCAGTTGCTGGGGGTCATGGCCTGCAACCCAGGCATGTACCCTGACTGGGAATCGAACCTGTGACACTGACACAATTTTTATGGAAAGTTGACAATGTGTATCAACTGCCTTATAGAATATGTATATCATTAATCCAGTGTTTCTATTTACAGATATCACATTTACGGGGGGAGGGGGTTGTGGAAGAGGTATGGGTAGGGATTTTGTACAATGATCTACATCTCAGTCATAATTGTTAAGTAAGGGGAGCGAGTATGTAAGATACATAGATTTTCAGAGTGATCTTGTGTTTTTCCAACTCAGTAAAAGCCTTCTTATCTGATTAGAATTGATAGTTATTCAGTTGAAGGTGGGGGAGTTGCTTAAGGCACAAAATATTTCTGAAATGATTCATACTGTCTATATTGACTAGGATTTATTTTGGCTGCAAGCAACAGAAACACAAAATAACAACAACCTGGGTAAGACAAAAGTTGGTTTCTTATTCAAGTGAGAGCCCAGCCATTGGTGATCCAGGACTGTTATGGTGGTCCAAAGCAGTACGAAGTGAGTGAACATCTCCTTATCTTCTTGCTCAGCTGCCTATGGCCTTTTCTCCCAGTTCTAATTCTAGCAATCATGTCTACATGGCAGGAGCAAAGAAGCAAAGGGAGAGAGAAAGGCATACTCACACCCAATGGCAGTTTCCTAAAGTTGCACATTCCTTTTCCCCTTTCATTTTATTCTCAGAAATGGTGTGGTGGTAACGGTTAGCTACAAAGTTAATAGGAAAAGTTGACTATTCCAGGAAGTCCTGTATCAAAAAAAAAAAAAAATCAGGATTTTTTTTCATGATTTAACTCTTCCTCGTTTCTTAACACCATGTACCACCCTGGGCTGAGCTTGCGTAAATTCGGTTTTCAGTAACAAACGAATGGCTAATGCAGACA